CCAAACTCGCTGGCCCTTCTCCTCTCCTGAGGATCCACTAAACTTTGCCAGCCTACCCCGGGGCTGCTCCCCGGGCGTCACCTCCGCGTCTGCTACTCCAGCCCCTGCCACTCGTACCCACTTTGGGCTACGTTTTTGTTTTGTTGTTCTTTTTTTAAACCAAAGTTACCGAGGTGGTATTAAACAAACAAACGCAAACAGGAAGGCGCTTTTTTAAGTAGGAGGGGACTTTCCATGGAAAACACCACGGTGAATGGAGGCACCGCGGGGTAATTGCGGCCCTTCGCTGGTTTGTCATTATTTCCTTTGCTCCTATTGAGTGCCAGGGGGTGGCAGACGAACAAGGCCAAGAAGGAGCCAGTGGTCGGCCTCACCTGCCCGAGCCAGGCTGCCTGCCCGCCACTCATTCATTACAGCGCTTCAGTACTTAGCGCTGTGCTGGGTGTTGTGCTGGGCTCTAGGAATAAAAAAAAACAACAAAAAAATTAAATTACAGAGGCCAAAGCTCCTCATAAATGCAGACACGTAATGTAACTATCATTTATTGAGCACTTACTAAGTGCTAAATGCTCTCACCTGCATTATCTTATGTAATCCTCACCACTTTGCTACCAGGTAGATAAAAGATTGACCCTCTAATTACAGTTAACGAATGCAAGAGCCAGCCTTTAAACCTAGGCACCAAACAAGACCAATAAAGTGGTGCAATGGATTGAGTGCCTGTGATGTGTCAGGCAGGGTTCTAAACAGTTGTGTGTTCATTTGCTTCATCTTCCCAGCCACCGGGGAGGTGTAGGTGGGGTTGTTATCAGGAACAGAGAGGAGGATAGGGAGGGGCAAAGATGAATTGACTTGACTCAGGGCCTTGTCCTAACAACGGCAGAGCCACAGCCGAGTCAAAGCGGGGCAGAATATCAATGGGTGTAGTGGGAGGAGGTGTTTTTTCCTACTTGGAGGAGAGTAATGGTACGCACTGTGCCTGGTTTATAGAAGAAGCTCAGAGGGTACCCAGAAAATCTTTTCAAATGGAGATAAAACTCTTTAGTATTTTGGTTGGCATTTTCCTGAATAAATACTTCGAATTGCCTGCTCTTTATGGGACCAACTTCCCCCTATGAGAGCATGTTTCCTTGGAGCAGTTAAAAAAGTTAGAGTTCCAAAGTGGTTGAAAAAACATTGCTAGATAGGAGCTGAGTTTGCTTTTCAGTTCTTTTAGGACCATTTGTTAGGCAAGGATTTCAACTTACTCACCTATAAAATGGGGTGAATAATAACTCTACCATCTGTTCTTGTGATATGTGGGTACTTTGGGGGCCTAGGCAGAAAGGTGTTGTTGGAAGATCGTTACTTGTAAATTAGGATGACTTCATGCATCCTGCTCTGAAGGTTGTTCCTGATGTGCTAAGATCGGACAGGAACAGATTTTCAGGGTCAGAGCCTTCTCTAAATTTCTCCAGCCAGAAACAGCTCCTGTCACCACTTACCAGAGTCTTGCATTAGTTGGTTGTATGCACTCTGCCTGCCACACTAGATTATGTGCTCATTGACTCAAGCACTGTCCTCTCATTTTTGCTTCTGAGTTTGAGACTGCGTACAGCACATGCTGATCAAATCAAACTAATGGGCTGCCAGGTTAAGGTTGAGATGAAAAGGGATGGCTTTAGTTTTGTTGCTGTTCTTTTCTTCTCTGAGGTTGAAAACGAACATCATGCGCAGACATGGAAAGCAAAGGCTGGAAGGCCTCTGGGGAAGAGATGGGGCAGGGGAATGGGGGAACTGGAGGAAGAATCTGCTGACAGCCCAGGAGACAGGGAATGTGGAAACTCAGGTTGAATTAGGGAGATGAGCCAGAAATAAGACAAGGATGAGCCTTCAGAAGCGGGGAGCGAGCCGGGAACTTGAGCTCCATGGGAAATAGCAGAGAGAGAAAATAACTTCTTTTTGATATGTCAAAAATGTGATAGTTAAAAGGAAGAGCATGCCTTGAAGAGTGCCCTAGTATATGCCTGGCCAAGTGATTTAAAGTTGGGGCCTCCATTTCTTTTTAACGGGGAAAATGATGTACCCCGTCTCCTCCCTGACACATTTTGGTAGGAATTGCATAAGGATGCGTATACAGGGGTGGGCAAACTTTTTGACTCGAGGGCCAAAATGGGTTTTTAAACTGGACCGGAGGGCCTGAACAAAAGCATGGATGGAGTGTTTGTGTGAACTAATATAAATTCAAAGTAAACATCATTACATAAAAGGGTACGGTCTTTTTTTTTTTTTTTAGTTTTATTCATTTCAAACGGGCTGGATCTGGCCCGCGGGCCGTAGTTTGCCCACGGCTGGCTATAGAAGCATTCAGGTATTCAGTGAGAAGCACAACACAAATGCTGTGAGAGCTTCCTGGAGAAGAAAGAGTGCTGGATTTAGGCTCGAGGACTTAGAGCATGTGCAGCGTCGGTGTCTTTCTGTGTAAAATGAGGATGGTAACGCCTGTCTTCCATGTCATGGACCTGCTAGGAAAAGAACATATTCCAGTTGGGACCCTTCTAGAAAACTTGTTTCAGAGATTGACATTCAATGCTTGCTACTCTCTCACACAGATGGGTTCCTACCAAGCCTACAAGTTGTAAGCTGCTTCCCTCGCTTGTTCAGCGGGCTCCATAAAACAGAAGTGTGACTTGTTTAGAGAACCACACACAGTGTTCCGACCTGACAACCCCAGGTCTGACACTGGTAAACGTCCACAAACCATTTTTTTTAAATGTTAAGATCTAGACAAGTTCTCTAACCTGGATAAGTTGCCTCCCTGGTTCTTACTTTTAAGCTTGAAAAAGGCCCTGGGTTCCCAGCCACTTGCCTTTCCTTTGGTGTCTGTCCCCTGCCATCCCCTCACTCTCGCTCATGGTTCTTCTCCCTCCCGCCCATGATTGGCCAGCTGCTCCCCACATCTTTGCTGCCTGGAAGTCAAGCACAAAGGAAAGAGATCCCCCTCCCTGGCCCTGCCTTTTAAGGCCTTTATTGCTAATTATAAGAGAGAACGTAGTAGGGCAGCATAGAAAGTTTACACTGAGACTTACACAGGACTCAAAATGTACTTAAGTTCATACTCCTTTTCTGTGCTGCCTCGTTCCTAGCCATATGGAAAAATGGCCCCTGCTTTTATTTCTGAGGGTTGAGTCTCATCCCCTCTTTGAACTGCCTTTAGCAAAGGCCTATGATGTCTTCCACCGCGACACCTTTATGCTTGTGGTACCCGCCCCTTTGCAAGTGTGGAGTTTTCATTTTTTAGAGATCTCCAGACAGGGTAATAACAAGTTCACTTGGCCTCGGCTCTGTCCAGGAGAAACTAATTGCACAGCAAATCCCAGGCCATAATGAGGAATTGTTGAAAGAACACCGTCTTTAATCCTTTCTTTGGCATCAGCCACTTGCTATTAAAAAGGTAGATTGGAATCAACTAAAGATGAACAGCTTAGTTCATTTGTCTTTCTTGGCTTAAAGAAATGGGTAGGAAGGAAAAGGGTCTTAGGATAAAACACTGAAGTTATTGAGTTGTTTTATAAGGCTTTGTTTTTCTTTGACCATGAAATTGGCCCTAGGGGGCTTTTTAAAGGGGGGAAGTTTTGTTAAATCTCTAAGGGTAGAAGAAAAGACTACAACATTATATATGTATAAATGTAAAGTTAAAGCTATCAGGTGGATTTTAGGAAAACATCTTTTTTTCAAAACCTAATATATGCACCTGTTTTAAAACCAGTGACATTTGCATCTGCTCCCACTTTATTCATAATAGGAAAAGATTAATCTAAGACAGAGTAGAAACAAATGATTCTCAAACAAAGACTCTTGGATATATATTTGTGTTACACAACTATTGTTAAGGTTTTTTAAGCTCAGGATTATGAAGAAATGATGGGTTTCAGAAAAATGTATTTCTTTCAATATATTTTTATTGATTTCAGAGAGGAAATGAGGAGAGGTAGAAACATCAATGATGAGGGAAAATCATCAATCAGCTGCTTCCTGCACCCCCCCCCCACTGGGGATCAAGCCCCAAAACCTGGGTATGTGCCCTGACTGGGAATGGAACCATGACACTCAACCAAGCCAGCCAGGCAGAAAAATGTATTTTTAAAAGGTTGCTGAAAGACTGACAACCTGGTTAGTGTTTATGCTCCACATACACACAGTCATATTTATAACCAAATAGTGAAGAGGGATTAGAACTTTCATTAAAAAAAACAACAACCTACATTTAGGGAGAGTTAGGGTGCCTGTAAACGCTGCTTTTTAACATATTTTTAAAACTTTATTAAATTTATTGGGGTGATATTAGTTATATAGATTTCAAGTGTACAATATTATAAATATATCATCTGCAGACTGCGTTGTATGTTCACCACCTGAAGTCAACTCTCCTTACATTTGAGCCCCTTTACCCTTTTCTACCTCACCTCTATCCCCCTTTCCCTCTGGTAACCACTGCATTATTGTCTGTGCCTGTGATAAACAGATTTTTACTGGAAGTCGAGAACCAGGAGTTTTGGATGAATTTTCATGCTGGCACTTGACCACCTGCATGAACCTGAGCAAGTCAGTATCTTTTGTCAAAAAAGGAGTGGGGATGCACAGTAGACTCATTCTCATGGGGTTCTGATGAAGATTCAGTGACTCTGGATATTTGCTGCTGTTTGGGCTGCCCTGCAGCTTGCTCACTCTTTTTGAGAAAGGGCAGTTGGTCCTTCTCCCTGCTCCAGGCAGCGAGGGTGATGGTTGTGGTATGTACACTAGGAGACTCCCAGAGATTCCTGTCTGGGACTTTAAACATTCAGGCAGCAATAGACAAGGACAGTTAATGATTTTAAGATTATGGAGAAGAGATTCTAGGGACAGGACAGCCAGGTGTCCACGGTGGCCTTCCAGCGAGGCTGGGCAATTTGATCTCCTGGGGAATGTTCAGCTATCTAACCTCACTAAATTTCTGCCTCTTACTGTGTTTCTAATCATTCCCTTTTCCAATTAAGTTAGTTCCCATCTTGATATATTGCTTTCTTCTGGTGGTATTCATCTAACATTGCACAGTTTTTAAACTATAAAAACCAGAAATTGGCAAAAAGAGTTGGCCCACTGGATCTAAGATTCAAGTAACTTCAGATAATGCCAAGTGCCTTTGTAAGTCTCTCTGCAAGATTGTTGTATGATTTATAAATGAGAGGTTGGAGCTGGGGGAGCTGGAAAGTTCTGTGCACTCAGAGCTTGTTATTCCTGGTGGTTCTGACGAGGGGGAATCTATGGGATTAATACAGCCGTGGGTATAGTTGGGATTTAGAATGCCAAAGAAGGGGCACAGAATTTGGTAAAGATTCTGGTCCTTGTAGTGGAGAGCCCACAATGAGCCAGCATGCAGGACACTTTCCTTCTGCTTTTAACTATGTGGTAGGTAAAATGCATAGGTATTTTGTGACTGCTTGCTTTTTGTGTGCCTGCCATCTCTACAGGTACACCAGGACTAAAGCTGATAGTGAGAGTATGACTGGGTAGCAGGTGGGGTTGAGAGAGTATTGCACATGAAGAAGACTTATATTTCCTGAGCTTCTATAGAGAAGGCACTATACTTGAATCTGTTTTTTTCTCATTTGATGTTACTTCCTTTATTTTAGAGAGCCTCACTGAGAGGAAGTCTTAGTAACTTGCCGGGTGTCCATGTATCAATTAGCAATTAAATGGGAGATTGGACATTGACACCCAGGCCTTTTCTATTTCAAAACCTACCAGGTTCTTTCCATGCTATTCGTGCTTATAGGATCAAGGGAGAATAAAAAAAGGAAGTGGAAGAGAGAAAGACCAGAGAAAGGAATAGAGCAGCGGTTCTCAACCTGTGGGTCGCGACCCCTTTGGGGGTCGAACGACCCTTTCACAGGGTTCGCCTAAGACCATCTGAAAACACATATATAATTACATATTGTTTTTGTGATTAATCACTATGCTTTAATTATGTTCAACATGTAACAATGAAAATATATCCTGCATATCAGATATTTACATTACGATTCATAACAGTAGCAAAATTATAGTTATGAAGTAGCAACGAAAATAATTTTATGGTTGGGGGTCACCACAACGTGAGGAACTGTATTAAAGGGTCGCAGCATTAGGAAGGTTGAGAACCACTGGACTAGAGGTTACCTAGGAAAATAAACAAGCATTAGGTTCCAGAAATAGGTTATTGAGACATCAAAGGACAAGGAGTCATAAAATTGCAAGAATGGAATAGACCTTAAAGGAATAAAACTCATCACCCTCTCCAAGTGATCACCCCTTTATCAAAATGGTTACCCAACCTCTTCCTGCAACAGTGATGGGGGATTAGATGGTCTGTTCTCTCTGTGGATAGCTCTGGCTATTACAAACATATTCTCTATGAACCCCAGGATTCCCTCTGGCTCCAAGTTCGCCTACCTACCAGTAACAACCTCTTAGTAACTAAAAATGATAATTAATACTTTGAATTGATAAAGCTAGGCAGCAACGTGGTCATGAAATCAAAGTGCTTTGGTTTGAATCCCAGTTACTCTACTTCCTAGCGGGGGCCTTTGACAAGTCCCATGCATTCAATCCTCTAAGCCCTGGATTCCTCATCCATAAATGGTGGCCACCTCACGTTGCTATGTGGATCCATTGAGAGAAAGCATTTAGCGTCACTGGCACACTGTGAGGTTTATAAAGTTTTATAAGGTTACAGATTGCTATTACTTTCCATACCTCCCTCCGGTAGGAATTGTCACTCCCATTTTCCAGATCTTGAAAACTGATGGAGCTTCCTGAGAGTCGCAGAAGAAGCAAGTGGAAACCATGACATTCAAGAGCAAATAATTTAACTTTTGCTCTTTCCATCTTAATACTTCCCACCACTCCCCTACTCTGAATGGAGAAAGGCTGCTGTAGGCCAACTGGTGTCACTGAGACAAAATAAAATATCCTGCAGATTGCTATACCTTCCTTTTTTCCTTTCTCATGAAAAAGAATTTCTTTTTGGAAATGTTATTCCATTCATTTATATTCATCAGCACTTGGGTCAGGTGTCACTTCATGCACTTGTTTGGAATAGCTAATATAAAAAGTCTCTTGGGAGGACAACTTTGTTTTTCAGTATTTGTACACAGTAAGTGTAACATGGGATATCGTTAAGTTTGTTTCCACCACGTGTGTCCCAGGCTCTAACATAGAACAATCAGGCCACATTATATGTTTTACAAAAGATGAGATATATTTCATGTTAGCTGGATGTTAATTTCTGGCCTGTGAATATTCTTGGACCAGTTATGCCAGAGGCACAAATTTCCACCCTTAATGTGTTCTGTTTTTCTGTTATTAATTGCTGTCATCAGACTTGAAGAGCCTGGCTCCGGGGTTCGTACCCCTGATTCTACTGCAGACTAGTTTATCTTGAGTAAGCCTCGTTTAGCCTGTGATTGTCTATCTGCAAAATTGTTGCACTATTTCTTACCAGAATGGTTTCTAAGGCAGGTTTTCTCATCCTAGACACTAATGACACTAGGTGGTGGTGGCGGAAGAGGGTCTGTCCTATGCATTTTAAGATATTTAACATCTCTCATCTTTACCCACTAGATGCCAGCAACTCCTCTTTACCCCACACCAGTTGTGATACCCAAAAATGTCCAATGTCCCCTGGGAGGGGACATAATCAACCCCCACCTGAGAAACACTGCTATGAGGTGGAACACTATTCTATATGTAAAAGGGTTGCAAGCTGAAGGTAACTACTAGACATTTCATTAAATGTCTACTTCAAGTAAAGGACTGTGCTAAGTGCTATGGAGAAAAGTAACCATATGCAAGTTACTATCCCTGCTTCCCAGCAGTTATGGTGGGGAATGGTGATGCAAGGTAGAATCTGATAAATCTGCAAGGTTCAATTAACATATCAAAGACGAGGTGGCATTTGGCATTTGAGTTGCACTTGTAGGAATAGGGAAGGACCCCCCAACAAGGAATTAGGGCTTTATTTCTAGTCTTTTGATAGGTTGCCAGTCAGAAAATGGAAATGAGAGAAGTAGGCTTTCAATGCAGGTGATTGTGTGACTCACCTACAGGGGACACAGTTGTTGGGGGCAGGAATGTTAGTCTGGTGTTGCCAGATTCCCAGTGTTTCAAAAGATGTTGAAAATGCAGATTTTTGTAAAATGTGAAATTTCCCAAATTTTTAACATTAGCTCAATTGAAAACAACAGTAACATTGTGCTGGCCAAACAAAAGACCGAATGGAGGTCAAATGAGGTTGCCAGTTTGCAGCCTCTGTTCCAGGTCATCTTTTAAGGGGTTGGGGGGAGGCTTCTCTCATTCTTTCCCTTAAAAAGCTATCAGAGGAAATGTCAAACTGGTATGTTCCTTCTTACTGTATACTATTCATTTCTACCCATGTTTTACTTTCTCCATTTAAATGTTATCTATCAAGATAAAGTTCAGATCTAAAATTATGACCTAGTTTAAGTAAAACAACGTTTTTTGGAAAACACGAGCATCCTCCACTTAAGAATTCTCCTGGGTCCTCAGCTAAAAGTGAAACTTGGAATGGCTGCCAGCAAATGCCTTTTGTAGCCTTGGAAATTTAAAGTGATTTATCACTTGCTGGTAATAACTGGAGGCCTCCATATACAAGAAAGAACTTAAAGGTAAAGAGGCCAAAAATAACAAGTATAACCATATGGCTTTTTTCAAAAGGTGGCTATGTGACTATCTAGCTAAAAAGGACTCTTGCCAGCTTTACTGTGAATTTTCTCCTCCTCCTCCTCCTCCTCCTCATTCCCCCCTCCCCCACATCCTCCTTCTCCTTTTGGTAGCTTTACATAATAGCCTTTCAGTTTTAACATTGTAGGGAAGGAATTCCTCCTCCTTTTACTCCTAGGTTTTGAAAACCTGAACTATGGGGTGAGGAAGAAATGTGTTTACAGGCAGCAGAGCCAGATCCCTAGTTGACCATAGGATTATTGCTTTGTACCTCAGCAGTAAACCTATGTGATAACCCCTATGTATATTCTTTTAAGTCTCCAGAGGTGGTTTAGCTTTCTGTGGTGGTATCTAAGTTCCACGTGGGACTATCTAGCTCAGTGCACACCGTCTTGTTCTTAAGGATGAAGCATAAAATTACTTGGTCAGATACCTTGAAGAAATCAAGATGTATATTAGTGCATACAGTTTCTACTTGTTTAACAAAGCGAATGGCACATCTCGTCCTGGTTTGCCCTTACAGAATTCTTATTTGTCCTTAGTAATTATAATTAAATAATCTATCCTATAATTATGCTGAGAAAGTTGACTAGTTCATAGGCTCTGGAGCTCATATGCTCCTCCTTGGTCATAATGGAGGTATTCCCCCCCCAGTTCAAGCTCTGTGGAGCGCTTCATTGGTATGTTGGTATCCATGTGGCTTTTGTCACATTATAGTATGGGAGGAGAACACACACACACACACACACACACACACACACACACATGCATGCACTCACGCACGCACACACAGCATAGAAGGCTAAAAATTAGGGCTCTAGATTAACCTAGATAGTATGAATTCTTAGATTTTTTTTTTGTTTTTCTAATAAATCTTGAACTGTTATTACAAATAGTTTGTTAAATACAAACATTAACAATTTAACAATGTTTACTCCTCTGAATTGAACAGCATACTTTTAAAAATTAATTTCTCTGGGTATACTTTGGAAACTAGAATTGGGGAGCTGTGGAAGTTACAGACTTTCATGCCATAATGAAAACAGCTAGGAAATAATACAGACGCTACCCCTTCGTGTGAGAGACTGAATGTAAATCACCCTAAGAGTCTCCTCGGCCCAGATGCATTTCCAGTCTGATTGGTTTGACATTTGTCTAGGACCTTTGGAACAGAAGCTGATGCAATTAAAAACGAAAATGAGTTTCTATCCGTGCAAGTTCAGAATATCTCAAAGCATTTTTTTCTCTTCTTAAATCATTTTGACTATTGGTATTTGTGGCGGTATGGCTTCCTCATATGAAATACGCTGTTATGCAACAGCTGTAGTTGTGTTGCCTGAATGCATGCCAATTCTGTTCAGATTGAGCTGCGGGGACTGCTTGTTAGCTCCCTAGCTGCCTGGGAGAGAAGGTAATGCAAAATTAATGTCTGAAGAAAGGCCTCCTATCTGACACTGTTTGGGGATGTAGGTAGTCTGAAGTGGTGTACAGAAATTAAACTAACGTGCTAATCTTCTACGTTAATAGAAAAGTGGCTGGGATTCCTGGTTCCAACTCTTTTGGTTTTAATTTACAAAACTGGGGAGGGCCTTGGTTCCCCCCTTTCCCTTACCTAGCTCCATCCCTGAACATAAAGCATGTATAAGCCTAGGATTTTGAGACCTTTAGGTGTTTGGAATTTAGGCTGCACTTCACAGAGGAGTGGTGGGAGAGAGTGTTGTAATAGGATTCTCACACACAGGCTACACGTATCTAAGAAAATACTTATTTATTCAAGTCGTCTTTTTCTTAATGAGTAGCAGCTAAATTAGACTGATGCTGAACATTTTTTATTCATTCTAAGCTAAGGATAATGTAACATAGCCGCTTCATTCAGCAGTGTAGAACCAATTTTGGCTCTGCCTATCCTTTCTGTATTCTTTTTCCTCCTTCCTGGTGATTTGGCAGTGATCAGTATCCGTCTCTCTGTATTCTCATTGGAGCCGAAGCAGCTCATTTCAGCATTAAGTCCAGTGCCTAGCTCTGTGGCATCATTCTCCTGTGGTTCTAGAATACCTGCCTTGCTTATCTGCTTTATCTCTGGACTGGGAGCTTATGACTGTGTGACAGTCTATCTTGCTGTGTTTGTAACTGCAACATCCGGCCTGGTGCCTGGCACACACTGAGTGCTTAATAAATGTTTGTTAATATATGAACAAACAAAAGGTTCTATCAGTGAGGTTGTCAACTTTGGAAAGAAGGAAGGATCAAATAACAAGCCAGATTTTCTTTGCACTGCCATGAACACTGTGGTATTCAATCCTTACAACATTCTTACACAATAGGCATCCTCATCCTTGTTTTATTTATTACGACCCCCACATGGGTCTCGAAGCTGGTTAGGAGGAGGGGTCTGGATTTGAACCCAGGTTTCATTCTCTGCTCATTGTTCTTACCGCTATACCACAGGAGGGCATTTTCTAATAGAGTAATGTTTCTCGGAAATTTTTTTTCTAGAGACTTTTCTCTTCTTGAATTTAGTAGAGCAATTCTTTTTCATATTTTATAAACCCTTCTCCTGAATAAACACTGGTAGAATTCCACCAAAAACAGAACCACAGAGACTTGTCAAGCAGAGCTGGAATGGGAAACAGCAAAGAAGTTAACTGGCATCAGAAAGACCTGGATTTTCATCTCGGATTCTCTACTTACTAGTAATGTGACCATGGATGTCATTTATGCCTCCGTTTTGCTTATGTAATTGGGGTTACCATTAGTACCCATTTCACATGAGATAATGGAGGTGAAGCATTTGCTATGTGTCTGAGACATAATTTCTCAAATGCTACGTGCTGTTATTAGCGCAGGGGTACATTTTATTCATGCATTCATTTAGCAAATATTTGAGTGCGTATGTGTGTGGTAGGCACTCTTGGGTCCCATTCATTTGTTAGTTATCAAAACAAAACAAAAACCCCTGTCTGCATGGAATTTACATTCAAGTTGCATCCCAGCAGCAAAGAGCTAGACAATAGACATAATAAATATTAGGAAGTAAATTACATTGTGTGTTGGAGAGTGGCTAGCGTGCTCTTAAATAAAAGAGAAATAAAGGCGGGTAAGGAGGATCAAGACAGTTTGTAAGGGCCTGGGGTGGTCTTCGAGATTGCCAGTAAACAGCATATTCACGATGGGCCTCACTGAGAAAACTATATTTGAGCAAAGACTTGAAGAGGCTGAAGGAGTTTGCCATGTGGATCTCTG